TTTTCTTGGCTCCTAGGACTCTAAGACATATTTAATAAAATTCCTGAAAAGTATGACTTTCTGAATAATACCTGCCAGAAGAGGAAAAAAGCGGCTGTTTGATGGTGCTGAAAGGATAGCTTTCCCTCTTTTCCTACGGAATAAATAACTGGATATTAAGAAACCTATTTTTTTTAGGTGAAAATTGGTTTTAAGCGATGAGTGGGAAGAGAGAGGATTAAAAAGAAAATATTTGTATGCTAAGACTTTGTTGGAGCAGATGCCTTAAGGATTTGAAGACTAGAATATATTGCAATAAGATTTTAAACAGATTTGGACTTTCTTTCTCTTTGATTGATATTACCCCAGAAGGAGAAAGTGAGAACTCTGCCTTGGTTTGGACTGACTGATAGCTTTGGGACTGTTTTATTTTTTTTATTTTCTTTTGAATATTCTGGTTGTTGTAAGAAGAAAGAAGGGGAAAAGAAAAGAAAAGATTTATAATGGCTCTTTCTGTTGAGGAACTAAGAAAAGAATATGAACAAGCAAAAAAAAATGGTAAAGATGGTGTGGAAGAAGCTTTCCTTTTTTTAGAAATGGTGCTTACTAACTATCAACAAACATCACAACAGATGAAGACAGCAGAGGAACAAGAAAGAAAGGAAGGAGCCATTTTTAATGAATCTCAGAATTTGATCAAGAAAGAAGGAAGAGAGAAAAGAAGAAAACTAAAGGACTTAAGATCTAAAAAAACATTTAAGAAAGGGAAAAATAAGGTGCAAAACCAATATGATGATAGTAAACAAAAGGGAAAAGGAATACGACAGAGAAGGGAAGCCGGTAAGGCAGAGGCTAGAAGAAGGGGGGGTAGAAAGGTTTGTTGGGAGAAGAAAGAAAGGGAAAAGGTGGAGAAAAGCTACAATGTTTTGAAATTAAATGAAAAAAAGGAATTTTTTATGGATAATGGATAAAGTATAATTTTAAAAAAAAAAAGATTTTGCAAGGTACATAAGATGAGATGGTAGTATTGTAATGGTTTAAGAGTTGATAAGAGATTAAAATGTTAAAATGTTTAAAAATGATTGGCTTTAAAATTTAATAATAGGGGAGGTTTAGAATACTGTTTTAATTAAAGAGTTTAATAAGATTATGGTATTGATGTTATTATAAAATTTTTATTATAGTATCTTTTTTTAATATTTGGATTTATTGTCTAATTATGTACTTAATTATTTTGGATGTATTAGTTAGATAGAATGTACCAAGCAAAATCGGATTGGGTATTGGATATTATTTTAAAGATTAATTTGATTAACTTAGGGGGGAGATAGAAAGGCATCATACTCTGATTAATGATTTCAGGAGAAACTTATTTTCTTCTTTTTTATAAGGAATGAGACAAAGGGATGATAAAAAATGGACAAAAGATACAAATATAATGATTCAAACTAAGATGATTAATTAAGATAGAATTAAGAAGGGTGAAATATGTGGAGAAGTTAATATAGAAGGCTTAGAATGGTAAATAAAATAAGTAATGATATGTAAGATGAGCATGAATATAATTGAAGTCCATGAAGAGAGAGACACCTGGGTCCAAGTTACTTTCCAAAAAGATTTTTTTTATGTTTTGTGTGTTGTGTGTATATGTTTTTTTGGGGGGGAGAATTAGTAAAAACTTGTAGAAATATAGAATGAGAATAATGGTAACTAAGTCAGAAAGAAATAGATGAAATAATAATAATGATATTGAATAAGAGTAAAGAGAAGTAAAGAGAAATTGAATAAGAGGTTTTGGTATGTTATATGGAAATGGTTTAAAACAGAATCATAATTTATCTGACTTGTTAAATTTACAATGAAAAAAGGTTTAAACATGTAATGAATAATGATAATTTGTGTGTTTTAAAAATTAATAAAACTTGTTTTTAAAAAAAAAGAAACAGAAGAGAAGATGGATAGACAGGATTGCGGGATTGTTGTACTTTTATTCTTACATAATGTTTGTTTCCAAGCAGAAAACAATGAGATCTGCAGGAGTTGCTCCTTTTGTCCATTCGTGTAAGGTTGACACATATAGAAAAGAGGCAGGGCTCGGATCACAATGTTGCATCTGCCATCTTGCCCATTTTGATCCCTCTTACAGACACTGTTGGACGGAGGATAGCCTGTCATATATTTTCGGCAATTGCAAACTTGTAGGGTACTTATAGGGACACAGTAGCTCAGTGCCTAAGATGCTGAACTTGTCAATCAGAAAAGTTGGCAATTCGGTGGTTCGAATCCCTAGTGCCGCATAACGGAGAGAGCTCCCATTACTCATCCCAGCTTCTGCCAACCTAGCAGTTCAAAAGCATGCAAACATGCAAGTAGAAAAATAGAGACCATTTCGGTGGGAAGGTAACAGCATTCCATGAGTCTTCGGCAATTAGTCATGCCAGCCACATGACCATGGAGACCATGGGGACATCTTCAGATAGTGGTGGCTCTTTGGCTTTGTAATGGAGATGAGCACCACCCTCTAGAGCCGGAAATGACTAGCACATATGTGTAAGGGGAATCTTTACCTCTACCTTAGGATACTTATAGAAAAAGGCAAAATACTGAAACAACAAATGGTTGCATATCAGTTTAAAAGAGGATTTAAAGATTCATGAGATCAAACAAAGAAGGCATTACAATAAATGCTGAAAGAAAAAATAATTATATTTGTAAGGAAAAACATACAAAAAACAAGATATCTGAAGCAAAAGACTGAAAGTTATTCTGAGCTGCTGGAAACCAAAAACATCCTTGTGGCCTTCATACACACTCACACACACACACACACACACAATTCCCCTTGCCCCCACCCAAAGAAAACAGGCTGTGAGTCTTCATGTGAAGAAAAGGAGAACACACCATTGAATAAGAGATCATTGTATGGGTTAAGAAGTATACTTCAGGTAAACAACTGCTGTCATCAGAAGAAAGCTTATGGGTCATGAGTCTGAGTCATCTAAAAGATGGACTGTAAGCACGAGGTGGGTTTCACCTCAGAGGCTCCAGTTCCATGTATTCAGACAAAGCATGACAAGGTTGATCTGAATTCTATGAAGGATGGAGACAAAATCTTAAAAGAAGCATTCCAGAAAAAGACTTCCTCTGTAGGAAGAATTGCTTCAGTGCAGCCTACTAGACCATTTAATGAAAATTCAGAAATAACATAGGCTTCAAGACCTTTATGTCTAAACACTAATGGTAAGAATATGGAAAAGCTGTGAGCCTGAACTCTTTATACAGGAAGGAAAATATGATTCAGTAAATATATTGGAAACCTGGTGAGGGATTTCTGATGATTGCAATATAATCATTGACATAATTTGTTCAAAGGGAAAAATTAAAATAGAAATAAAGGAATATTTGCGATATATGTAAAATCTATTCAGAAATCCAAGTGAATGAATATAGTGGTACTGATGGAATTAAACACCAGTAAATCTGAAATTTGTACCTGGGAAGATTCTAGAGTAGATCACAATTTGAACCATTGAAAATAATTAGGTAATTATCTAGAAATCAGACTGGATTTTTTAAAAATATTGCCATATTAAGCTTATCATGTTCTTTTTTTTAAAAAAAAAAGTGAGTAAACTACCTCAGTAGATGGTAGGAATGTCACAGACATAGTTTACACTATATGTTTTTGGCAAAGCATTTGTCAGAATAATTCATGATATTGTATCTAGCTTGGTATGAATGGAATGACATATCATTTAAATGGATATTTATCAGTGTTTCCCTAACAAACATGAGCAGTACTGAATAGGCTGTCATTCCTGGTTCTTGGAGTCTTTAATATTTTTATTAGTGCCTTGGAATAGAAAGTGGAGGGAAATTGCAAATGACAAAAAGGTTGGACAGCTAATACTACATATTACTAATAAAAATAAAATTAAAAATCTTGTTGACAGGTTAGAAAAATGGACTGAAAGTCACAGAATCAAACTTTACTAAGACAAATGCAAAGTTCTTCACTTAAGAAATCAAGTCCAGAAATGTAAGACCGTGGTTACCTAGCCTGATAATAATCCTTGTGAAACAGATCTTGGATGAGTATTTAGCAGCAAAATGACTGTGAGTGAGCCGCATGGTGTGGCTGCAAAATGAGCAAATACAGTTTATTCTTAGGTCAACAGAAATACAGATGTAAAATCTCAGGGGAAATTAGCTTCAGTTGACAATGCCGTAGGCCAGGTCTCAGTGAGCATTGTGTTCAATATTGCACCATGAATAAAATTCAGAGTTTTCTAATCAGGTTGAACAGGTTCAGAAAAGAGGGAGAAGAATAATCAGGTTCTATGGAGTCTGTAGAAACTAGGAACATTTGAAAAGATTGGATTGAGGGATATAGCACTCCTCAAAAGGCTATCACAGAGAAGAAGACTATCCCCTAGAATGGAGAAAAATGAATAATACATTTAACCTTCCAGAAGGAGGATTATAAAAACAACCTCTTAACATACAGAATAATAAAACAGAGTACGTATTAGAGAATGAACCTTTGCCATACTACTGTCTAAGGAAAAAAAGTTAGGTAAGCAACTGTTGAGACTCTTTACTGAAATGTGGATATTTGCCACTGAGCAGAAAATTCATGGCCAACCCCATGAATCAATCAATACTTATGGAATCTCCAGTCCAGAGACAAAGCACCACTGATTGGGAGCTGACCCGATAAGCAGCAACTTTTGTTTCACGCGTTGCTTATAGGCATCCAATTCACCCAGAGTAGGAAATAGCTGGGAGGGCCTTTGGTGAGTCTTCCCTCCCCCCACCCCATAGATGTTTTTTTTTTTTTTTTTTATTGAAGGTAGGCGCTAGGACCCAGTAGGATCACACTCACCTCTAGTTTGAAGGAGATGCTGTGAGTCGATGGGGGGCGTGACCCAATGAGTTCCTACACAGCGGGGAGGTGTGGCTTGCGGGAGGGCGTGGCTTGTGTTATGATTTGTCTTTTTTTTTTTCTTAAGCTAGAGTACGGTACTGTATTGTAACCTGCTGCTTCAGAGCGTCTGGTCTGCGGCCTCGGAGAGTCATGTCGGGGAAGCGGCCGCTAGTAGTTTTGTTCGACCTGGGCGGCGTCCTTTTGAGTAGCAGTCAGACACTTTTCCGAAATCTGGAGAAGACTGTGGGCTTGCCTGGGTGGGTAATCGAAGGGAGTAGAAGGGGTGATGGTGGGGTGGGATCTGCCTGCCCGTCCGATTCTCTTTCTGTGTCGACTTTAGCAATGCGTGTGCTGCGCCCGCCCGCAGTTACGGTGCATAACTTAATTTCTGCAAGCACAGTTGGCTTAATAAACATTAAGCGCCTGTGGCGCTTTTTCCATGTACTTCAAGGCATGGAGAAAAAGCTTTACTGTGGACCGGTGGCGATCGATTTTCACTGTGTGAAAGTCCAAGTGTTAGACCCTGACAATTAAGTTTAGTGTGAACTTCACGAAAGCGAAGGGTGAATGGCGACTTTGGGTATAGGAATACGGATTTATAGAGCCGGCAATTTATCCATGGATTTGCAGCATTGAGAGAGCCAATGTGTGCAAGACCTTCGGGGTTTTGAAGAGTTTTAAAATAGGTGAGAGAAATTCCGACGCTGTCCTTGCAGTTAGGCTTATTTGCTAAATGTAAGCAATTGTAGTAATTGTTATTTTTATAGTGTCACTGATGTGTGTGACCCATTATCCAGAACAGGGAAACAAATCCATGTGTCGGAGAACTTCTACTAGAAATTATGTGTGGAAAATGAGAAGGGAAGGGAAGGAAAAGTATACCAAGAAATAATGCACAGTGATTGTACTTGTGATTTGTCATGACAGATTTCACCATTTTATTTAAGATTTATGTGCTGCTTTTTATTGTAAAAAATCCCAAAGCAGTTTACAACCAGTAATGAAAGCAGTAGATTGAAAAGACAATGATATATTGGAAGCTACTGCTTTGATATATTTTCAATATCTGGCAAATAATTTTGATTTTGTGAACTCCTGAGAGGCTCTCAGACTTCTTTGGACCATAGAGGATGCACTTGAAAATATCTGGTGCCAGTTTCAGAACTTTCTATGCTAGTTAATAATAATTATTTCTCCTGTATATTGATTCCCACAGCTTCTTTTGTTAGCATTATAAAACCAACACAGGCTTTATAGTATTGCGAAACCATCACCAGTTAATGTGTTTGGTTAATACCTTCTTGATATGTAATTCACTAGTTGTTGATTTTTCCATGGATACTATGTATAACAGCTTAGTTTGGTAGAACATTATTATCCTTACAATAACGCATAGGAGTCTGAGATCTGCTTAAGAAGAGATGACATTGGAAATTGGGACTTGAAATTCAATGAGTAGGAGACCAACCCTAAGTTGGTCTCCTAAGTAATGAGCTCTACCAAAGCTTATTGTAGGGTTTCTGTATATAGAAGACTCTCTTTATCAAAAGGGCCTATGAACAGCTTTCCTATCCTTCTGAAATAGTAAGAATAAAGTAAATTGAAACTAGATAACTGCAGGCTGCTTTAAAACAAAAAAAGTCCATTCATAGTACAGGTGGAGGCAGGATTTCCCATTCAGAACAGATTTACTTTAATTGGCTTCATCTAAATTCCTTCCAAAGAAATATGGTCATCTTAATAATCCAATAGAGACAAATCAAAGATATATTTTTCTAGCTTAACATAAAGCATGTGATTGTAAGGATATTACAAAAATTGTATGAACTTGTTCCACATTAAGAGTAGAAGTCTCAGACTAAATTAATAAATTAGCCAAATAAATTATTAAAAAGTTAAAGAACATAAAAATATTCGTAAATCACATGAAGACCTAGGCAATTTTTACTAACCCATAATTCACTGCTATAATGGGTATTCAAATTTCCCATAATAAGAGTTGAAGGCAGTTATAGATTAACGACCCTCTTTAATGCAAATTAGCAAGATCCAATTGAAGGCTGGAACTACACACACCTGTGAGCTAGTCATTCATAGTAGTCCATTTTATAGAGCTGTTGGAACAATATATGATCTCCAATACAAAATGGGATAAGGTGTGTCTTTTAAGCATCTTCCTGCTTTATAAGGGTCCTTTGGATGTCTTCTCCTTTTGACATTATGCAAAATATGACAGGTTTCATTGTATACATTCTGTTGCAATCTTTTTGAAAGGAGCAGGATGCTGTTGCTTAAATCACATTTGAGAGCCAATATTATTATGGTTGTGTAAGATCCAGAAGTTAGGTCACGGTTGAGCAACACACAACTGTGAGCTAGTCATTCATAGTAGTCCATTTTTAAGAGTTATCAAAAAACAATATATATGATCTCCCAATATAAAATGGGATAATGTGTTTCCTTTAAGCATCTTCCTGCTTTATAAGAATCTTTTGGATGTCTGTGCAAATACATTGGTAGCTCTCAGAAGTATTAATAGATTTGAAAGAAGTTTATGAGATCCATATTCCAATAATACTCATTTAAGCTTAGTATGTAGCTATAAGAAGTTCTCCACAAATGTCCTCAGATTGATTTCTGCTGTACTAGCAAGGAAAGAGACCAAGGACTAACTCAAAACTGTGACTTATTTTTCTTCATAATATCAGTTTTTTAATAGGAACCAGAAAGTATTAATAAATCTATTGATTCTTTTCTTATCGGACTGAATAGGTCAGTCCATTTCTACATGTATGTTATCTTGGAGCATACACATGGAAATTTAACACATTCATGTTTTTCTCAGATTTGCCTTGCATTTTACTGATATCTCTGTAGCAAGGTCTGATTAACTATAGTTTGATATTTAGATGCACAGTATTCTACCATTGGTGTGATGACTGAAGCCAAACTTCTGTATACCTTGAAAAGAACCATTATTCCCTAATTTGTGCGGATGTGTGTTTCAACTTCCAGAGATTTCTTTCAAAAAGTCATTAAGCATGGTGGCCCAGATGGACCTTTCTCCAAAGGGATGACTGGACAGATTGGATTAACTCAGGTAAGAGTTAGTTGCTTTTGGAAGAGAACATAGTTCAAGGAAGAACAAATTTTGTCTGAAGGTATAAACATCAGTGCTCCATTTGTGGCATTTCCCTTTACACAAAGGGTTTCTGGGCACCAGGTCTAGGGAATTCCGTGGAGCAGAGAGGGATGGGTGAGATGAGTCTGACTTGCATTATTCAGGATGCCACAAAAACTATTTAATAGCAATAGCACTTAGACTTATATACCGCTCCACAGTGCTTTGCAGCACTCTCTAAGTGGTTTACAGAGTCAGCATATTGCTCCCCCCAACAATCTGGCTTCTCATTCTACCAACCTTGGAAGGATGGAAGGCTGAGTCAACCTTGAGCCAGTCAGGATCAAATTCCTGGCAGTGGGCAGAATCAGCCAGCAATACTCCATTTTAACCACTGTGCCACCATGGTTTATGGTGAAGAAATCTTCTTCCCACACAGGCAACATAGCAAGAAATAAATGCCGGTTTCTATGCATAGCTCTATGTAGCATGAGGCTTGGTTATCTGAGCAACTACCTGTCTCCTGTAATTTTGTCCAGCCAGTAGAAGCCTATAGGTTTAGCATGATCCTGGACTCTTCGAACAACACAATCTATCTGAATCCAAAGCATGCTTTCTCTTTTACAGTGCCTCAGAGGTTCCCACTGAGATCCATGTGGTTCTCACCTTTGCGTCATTCCAGAAGCCTTTAAAACAGTGGTGATATTCCACTGGTTCAGCCTGGTTCTGGCGAGCCAGTAGCAGCGATGAGCAGCGGAGACCGAATCAGTTCTCTCGGCCGCTCTGCTGTTGGGCCCACCCGGACCCTGGGCTCCCATACTCACTTTTATCTGCTGAATTTGAAGCGCAGCTGCTTTGCGCGGCATAGAATAGTGCCGCACGGCATCTGCTGAAGCGACCGGGATCTTGCAGGAGGCGAGTTAGAACACCTCTGAGCCTGCGCAAAGTGTGCGTTTGGCACGTGCCTGCACACAAAGTGTGAGCACGCGCATAAAGCGCGCCCACCAAGCCACGCCCACCGAACCGGTGGCAAAAATATTTGAATCCCACCACTGCTTTAAAAATCTGACTGTTCTCCCAAGTCTTAGGCTAGCGTACATGGTGGCCCTTGATAGTTGTGTTTTGTATATATATATTTTCTCTCTCTTGTTTGGGCTGATTCCCATCATTCCCTGATTCATTTTTTACGCATTGCATTTTTTATTTTGTCCTTTGAAGCTAATATGGAATGAGACAAAATTGGGGAAAACAATGAAGCCTTATCAGATATTGGCTTACTTGGCAAAAAGCTCACAAAAATATCACCCAGCAAAATTAATTTCTTCATTGCAGGAAAATATGTACACTACAGAAATTCTATCCACTGAAATACATGTTAAATCAAATACCTTATATAGTTGATCATTTGGGATTTAAATTCTAGGCTTTTCTTCCCTTTCCCATGTTTCTGAGCTGGTGGATTATTGATGGCCTTGGGAGGCATCTGATACTTGTTGGCACAGTGCTCTGTCTACTGTGAGAACAGCTACTTTCTGACTCAACAGTTTCATTTCTTAGAAATTTAATATTTAGGACCCATCATAGGGGGATTCTTCAGGAAGCCGAAACCAGGGACTCCTTAATAGCTTATGAAGTACACCCACTTCTATTCCTAACATAGTAATCTTCCATGTTTAATATGCTTACAATAAATATCCTGGTCACTTTGTTCTGTCCCACTCTGCTTGTATTAAAATAAAAATAGTTGTATTTTAACGTCTCTCTTTTTAGCTTATTGCTGACTTTGAAGATGATTGCAAGAAATTTTCTTCTACTTCTAATCTCCCTCTTCCCGAAAACTTCTCACTGAGCGAGAGTTTTGTCGAAACGATGGCGAAAAGCGGCTTGAGTGTACCCTTCCTGAAGGCCGCTATGCTTCTCAAGAAAAATGGTAAAACTTCTATTATGCAAAAGGCAGTGGCATAATGCCTGCTATATTTATTTCACTTTGTTTATTGTCAAATCGATTCAGTACTTTTTAAACTGGAAAATGCTCTATTTCTTTGAGAAGATGAGCACCCATTCCATTCTGTGCATGAGAATGAAGGGGGAAGAGTCAAATGCCTTTTTCAAGGAAGTGCATGTCCTGTGTGCTTTTTATTCTTGATTTAGCTTTAAAAATCATTAGTGTACATACTCAAGGATAAGCCAAAGAATTTTAGGTTGCAAAATACTACTCCAAAGATTAGTTTTAGCTTATCCGTGGATGAGCTTATAAATGATACTATTTTTTAAAATACCCATATATTCTTACAGATAACCCAACCTTCAAATCTTTGGCCAAAATACTATGAAAAATGTTCCACCTATTTATAAGCCAGTGGTGAAAATTAAAATGTACAAACATTTTGAGGGCTGACTTATATGTGGATTGTTCATTTTTGGTAGTATATTGGTTGAGTGTCCATGGAGATTCTCAGTCATCCATGTGATAGTTCTCCCAAAGGTGCTTTTTCAAAAGGCAACTGGACTTGGTTTTCTTTGAAGACATTTCACTTCTCATCCAAGAAGCTTCTTCAGTTAGTATTTTGATTAAAAATTGAAGGGTTGATTTACCCATGCATAGGTTTATCCATGACTGTTTTTATTTTATTGTTATTATTAGATTTTTATCCTGTCTTTATTACTTTATAAGTAACTCAAGGCTGTGAACATATCTAATAAACTTTTCTCCTCAACTGTTTCCATAACAACAACCCTGTGAAGTGAATTGGGCTGAGAGAGAATGAATGGTCTAAAACAGTGGTGGCTAACCTTTTTGAACTCCTATGCCAAAAATTGTGTGCACGCTTGCATGCTCGCGTGCTAGCACCCAGAAGGCAATGTGCACCTCCTACTCCCCCTATGAATGCGTGCACAATCCCCACCCACCGCCACCCCGTTACCTGCACTGCGCCTCACAGCTGATTTTTGGCCAGTTTAAGGCCTTTTCCGCCTCCCAAAGGTTTGAGGAAGGCTTCTGCAGGCTTCTGCAGGCTTTTGCAGGCCAAAAACTAGCCCTTTTTCGTCACTTCCGGTATTTTCAGAAAAACAGGAAGTGATGAAACGGGGCTAGTTTTCGGCCTGCAAAGCCTGCAGAAGCCTTCCTCAAGCCTATGGGAGGCCAAAAAAGGCCTCAAACTGGCTGAAAATCAGCTGTGAGGTGCTTGCATGTGCAGTGAGGTAAATTTGCCTGCAGCTCGCCTGCCAGCACAAATGGCTCTGCATGCCACCTGTGGCACACGTGCCATAGGTTCACCATCATGGGTCTAAAATCATCCATTAGACCTCACAGTTTCCTAGTTTATAGATCAACACTTTAACCACCACACAAAAATGGCTCTCAAATATATATGGTATTTTTCTGCCAAGTATCAGGGTAGTGATTAAATGCCCAGACAGTTGGTTCTTTTGGATCCTGAGATAATAAGCACACCAGTAAATAAAGGAATTTGAAGCTTTATTATTAGCTCAAGCAAACAAATTTAAAAGCATAGGATAAAAACCCTTCATACCAAGTAAGATGATACCCAAATCTCTTACAAGCTATCAGGAGTTCCTTAATAGCCACAGCAGTGGCTGTGGGGCAACCGATTTCCACAGTATCTAATGATAGGTTCTGTGGAGAAGCTCCCAACAACAACCCCAAGATATTTATCAAAACCTGGCATTATGTTAGAGCATCATGTTCATGACTTCACCATGGTTATGAAACTGCAAGACCTAACCTTGGTTGAGTGGCAGATGACTCTTGGATGGGAACCAAAAGTAAGATTTTCACAGGTTTGCAGCTGTGTGAAAATTCTCTCCCCTTCTTTATTCGACAAGGAAGAGTGATAATCAGATTAACTCAGAATCAGCTCTAAGCTTCTAGACTTTTAATAAAATGGAGAAATCAAAATATGTCACTAAATTCCTCAAAATAACAATAACCTTTAACATTGCCACTACAGATAACTTTCATGAGCAACAGGCAAAACTTTTGCTTTTGTTTATTTCCACTCCTTATTGGAGCCTAATAAATATGTTTGCCTTATCTTTCTTGTCCCGAATGTGTTTCAACTTTGTGAAAATTTAAAAAAATCTTGTGATCTATGTGATTAACTAAATCAGGAATTGTCAAATTTCACAATATCACTCCTTCTTAAAATAAATAAATGCAAGATAGTCATTGAATTGCAACCACAATTGAACCCCAAATTTCTGCTGCTAAACAAGACAATTGTTAATTGAATTTTGCCCCATTTTATGACCTTTCTTGCCATAGATGTTATGTGAATTATACTGCAGTTGTTGAGATAGTAACACAGTTGTTAAGTGAATCTGGCTTCCCCATTGACTTCGCTTGTCAGAAAGTCATAAAAGGTGATCGCATAACCCGGGACACTGCAACCGTCATAACTATGAGTCAAGTATCTGAATTTTGATCACGTGACCATGGGATGATGCAACTGTCATAAGCGTGGAAAATGATCATAAGTAACTTTTCAGTACTGTTGTAATTTCAAATGGTCACTAAATTAACTGTTGTAAGTCAAGGACTACCTGTATATACCATATATTTTCAGTGTATAAGACACACTTCCCCCCCCCAAAAAAAGTAGGTGGAAATGTCTGTGCATCTTATATAGCGAATAAAGCCCTACCCACCCGCCTCCTCCACCCTTTGACCTCTGCCTCCCAGCAATTTGCCTCCTTGCAGCAAACAGCCTGGTAGCTTCAGCACAGCCTGATTAGCACAAACACCTGATTGTCGGTGGATTGGCCTCCCTATGATCAGCTGTTTCAGGCTGCAGGGATCGCCATTGCCTATTGTTGCCTCTGCGCACCCCATTTGTGGCCTTCATCCTCCACGCACCCCATTTTTGGCCTGTTCCGATCTCTGCTGCCTGGAAGTCCCCTAATGATCTTTGTTGCTCTTCTCTGCACTCTTTCTAGAGTCTCGCCATCTTTTTTACATCATGGTGACCAAAAGTGGATGCAGTATTCCAAGGGTGGCCTTACTAAGGCATTATAAAGTGGTATTAACACTTCACGTGATCTTGATTCTATCCCTCTGCAGCCTAGAACTGTGTTGGCTTTTTTGACAGCTGCTGCACACTGCTGGCTCATATTTAAATGGTTGTCCACTAGGACTCTGTGATCCCTCTCACAGTTACTTCTATTGAGTGAGGTACCACATATACTGTACCTCTGCGTTTTGTTTTTCTTGCCTAACTGTAGACCTTACTTTTTTCACCATTGAATTTCATTTTGTGAGATAGCGCCCAATAGAAAGATATCAGCCAGTTGTACCAATGCTGAGACTAATGATTTCGAGAGATGGAGGCCATGGATTAATCCGTCTCACAAAAGTTACTCCAGGATTTGATGACCAGTTTGTCTGGGCAAGTCTATTGAATTTTTTCCCAAATAAAGCCAAAATGAATTTTGACAGTGTTTCTGATTTACCTATGAAAATTAGCTTTTTAAAGGTATTATGTTCTTCCTCCAAGTTGTTTAAGGCATTGATTACCACTGGTTAATCTCAGTCTGCAGGCATCAGCTGAATTTGCATTTATAGTTTCTTGTGTTTCTTAACCGCATGTAAGATATGAATTATTTTTGTTATGGAGATTGCACAGTCTGAAATCAGGTTTTTTTTTCCATTTCTCCTCATTTACTCAATTTCCTGCCCCTTTTCAGGTTTTAGAATTGCTGTCCTGACAAACAACTGGATTGATGATACTCCTAACAGGCATCAAACAGGATTTGTCTTCTGTCTGCTGAGGAAATATTTTGACAAGGTGATTGAGTCCTGTCGTATTGGCCTGCAGAAACCAGATCCCAAGATTTATGAGTATGCATTACGTGAGCTGAATGTAACAGCTGAAGAGGTTAGTGACTTCTCAACATCTTTTCTAACAGATTTCCAGCTTTACCTCTCTGTATCATTCACTACATTAGCTTCTAGTGTGTAGTAGACATGATAATATTCCGAGGTACTCTGTCATGGTCTGGAGATATTCTTATTGGGATTCAGTTCTCTCTTACTAGTTTAGATTTCAGAGGTGATTCAATGAAATCCCACATTGAAGTCTATTAAAAAGGGTGGTACTTTGAGTGTTAATGAGACCTTGGAGATCTATAATCAGATATTATTTCTCTCTTTAATATCTTTGAAAAGTAATTGTGTGTGAGAGAGAATTTGACTAGAATTCCACTAAGGTGATAGGCAGTTTCCCATCTCTTCTCTAATGCAGGCAACAGTCTGATTTACTCTATTAAACATTTTAATAAGGGCAAATAATAATGTGCACTGCATGTGCCTTAAATAAGTGTGAAAATGATGGAATTAATATAATCCCCCATGCAATAAATTTAATCCCCCCCAAGCTTAAAGCTTTCTACAAAGAAAAAACTCTGAAGAATTGTTTTGTATAGTTTTTCTTTCTAAATCTTCCCACTTACCTTAACATTCTAGTCGTAATGGTTGAGGATATGTTTAAAACTTTGCAATAGTGGCTATTGATCTTTTTAAAGATAGAGGAATTAATGAATAAGATCCTTCAAGACATTATTTTATATCTTATTCTTTCCTGTTCTGTAAGTTTATTTTGCATACTTAGTACATATTGCAAAGGTCCACTTCTCTCATTGCAGCTTGTAGATTTATTTGTTTGTTTGTTTATTTGTTTGTTTATTGAATTTATATTGCCGCCTATTTGCCCATGGCGACTGGAGGCGGCTTACAAAATGTAAAACCATATTTAAAACAAAAAACAATAAAAACTACAAAAAAGAATCAAATAAATTAATAAAGTACAATATAACAAAATCTGGGAAAAAATAAATTTAAAAAAATCACCCCCAACTCCCACCCCCCACCCCGACAATAGCAGATTGCCTGAGCAAAGAATAATTTTTTGTAGAATATGGGCCCGCCCCCTACAGCAGATCTTGATTCTTTCTTCACTTTAGGTTATTTATCTGGATGACATTGGTGCATACTTAAAGCCTGCTGAGAAGATGGGGATGACAACAATCCTTGTGAAAGAAGCTGACTCTGCTTTGAAACAGCTTCAAGATCTGACTGGGGTTCAGGTTAGTAGTCTTTATCTGAGCTTCGGTATGAGCAATTTCTTTGATCTTGAAAGGACATATTGACACAAATCAGTTTGCTTGTTTGCTTCTGTTAAAAATTGCTTGTGCTATTTTGCTATGGTTAGGAATTATTTGTTGGGAATTAATTCTGTAAGCCTCGCTAAGAATTGTATTTTTTCTTTGCTATCTGGTTTCTTGCTCTGTTATTTGCTTCAAAGCTAGGCACATCTTTGGAGATGGAAAAAAATAGTTACCCTGGAACATCCTGCTCCATAGATAAACAGGTCCAGAGAAGCAGCGGTATACTTCAAAAATTTTAGCAACTGGTTCTCTGCCCGGTTGCTGGGTGTGTGTGGCCATGGTGAGTATGGCCTAGTCGGCCTCCTGCACCACGTTAGGGGGAGCATTTTTGCCTCCCTGGGCTCCAGAGCCCTCCCATGAGCCTCCAGAAGGGCAAAAACGGCTGTCCTGAGCTCCATTTCCGGCCTTCCCAGATTTCTGGGAGGCCCATTTTTCACCCTTCCTGGGCTCTGGAGGTTTTCTTCAAGCTTCCAGGAGGGCGAAAACAGCCTCCCCGGGCTCCAGAGGCCCTCTGGAGCCTACGGGAGGCACATTTTTCGCCCTCCCCGAGCCAACATGCAGGTCCTGCACTTAGCTGGCATCCAAAACGGACCACATGGAGACTCCTGGGAAAGGTGGATCGGGGCCAGCCAGGGGTCAGATTTGCTGGTTCACCAAATGGGTAATTAAAAATGATAAAATTAGATACCGGTTTGCCCAAACCGGGGAGAACCGATAGCAGCCCACCCCTGCAGAGAAGGGGACTGCCTAGAAGCACGAACACACAAAGCTCCAAGGGATGTTCTGTATGTATAGAGCATGGGCAAAGAACGTTCCATGGATAAGGGGGGCATGGGTGAGACATTGCCCACATTGGGTGACTATCTTTTGTCTCTGATTGGCTAAATGAGTATATGAGATCCTAGACAAACTTTACCTAGGTGTGGCTTTTCTCTTTGCATATTTGTTGTCTATATGCATGGAATAAGTCTACCCAGCTCTTCTTTGTACAAAATAAAAGCAGCTATTTTCCAAGCCTCTTCTTGAGTGTCATTTTGGCATTTTGTGGACTTGAGCGCAGTCTATCTGAACCTTACAATCTCATACAGGCCTGTTTTTCAAACTTTGCTACAGGTTTGTTCCAAATAAGCAAGTCAAGAGAACAAACTTTTAAAGCTTTCTTCAAAGCAAAGATAGAAAGATCCGTATATTTTTTTTTCAGGCACAAATTCCACAGATTAGGAATCATTGAGCATCTTTGGATGCATAGTATTGAAGTCAATAATTAGGGTCTCTAGATTTTTCTTAAAACTGAACCCAGGTTTGTATTGTAAAGTAGTGGGAAGTCCTCTAGATAATTTGGACCCAAAGTATTTTAGAGCATTAAAAATCAAAAACAATTATATGAATTGGGCTTAGAAGTAATTAGTGAGGCTGGTATAGAGATCTATAAAGTGATCCTATCATATAGTTCAAGAATTACTCCTGGATTGAGGCAGCTGCTAAAGACCTGACTATTTTCCTCCTTTCAGGATTGCAGTGTTTCCAAAAGAGCTTGCAAGCAATATAAACAACTGCAAATACAATATTTTATTTTTTATCTATTTTATTTTATGAAATTTATATTGCCGCCTACCCGCACATGGCAACTCAAGGCAGCTTAGAGAAATATAAAAACCTCATATATAAAACAATAACACTAATAAAAGAGAATAATCATATCATAAATAAATAAAATAATATAATAAAATAAAGTAACTCCCACCCTGGTGACAATACCTCACACGAGCCATTTAATGGGCTCCATCCCACTCTGGGTTCCCCAGGCCCGCTGGCAGAACCAGGTCCTCAGCGCCTTCTGGTAGAGTATTAGAGTGGGGGCCATTCCAATCTCTGGGGGAATGATGTTCCAGAGAGAGGGAGCCACCACTGAGATGGCTCTTCTTCTGGGTCCCACCAGGTGTATCTCCCTCGGGGATGGGACCTGCAACATTCACTGCCTCCCCACTCTGATGGGTCGGGTAGATGTCACCAGCAAGAGACGGTCCCTCAGATAACCTGGTCCCAAGCCATGTAAGGCTTTAAAGGTGACAACCAGCACCTTGAATTGCACCCGGAAGTAAATCGGCAACCAGTGCAGCGTCCACAGGAGAGGTGATACATATGTACACTGTGGTCTGCCCAAAACCTTGCAAGCCTCTGCATTTTGCACCAACTGTACAGTTACTGTTTTGACTAATCTTCAAGATGAGCGTGACAACAATAGCTAAACTAGGGAAGAGATTCATGACAAGGCATTCTGGTGATGGAAATGAGATGGCTGCCCAGGACTGGCTGATTTTTACATGCCTGGGTATACAACACTAACCTTGTAATCCTGACTCAGTGATTGGCTTTTTTAAGCCCAGCAAGATCTGGCTACTTTGTGCTTCAATGGACACGGTCCATTCTGTAATACTTTCATTAGGTTTTCCCTAAAGTACTTCATCCAACTCACGTACCAGCTGATTCCTTGAAAGTGGATCTGCTGCTTTCCCTTTTAAAAACAGAAACAAAATGCAAGGATCTGCATTTCTCTGTGGATCCAGATTTCTTTCTACCTTTGCACTGAGCAAATTGCTGGGATTTGTGCTACATTAAGATTTTGAAAAATTTAGAACAGCATTTTTCCCTTAGAAAGGTTGTTTTTAAAAGCAGGCAATTTAAATGTGGGCTTTTAAATCATTTTTTGCTGGATTTCATTACCTTCCAGGAATGGAATTTTTATGAGAAATAGAGCAGAATGAATTTCAGCTTCCTTTTTACTCCTTTAATTGGGTTTTCAGTTCTTTTTGGTCTACTGTAGATATTTAGAAAATACGATTTTAGCAGAAGGTTCTTGAATACTTGCATCAGTTAAAGCTTCTCTGTTGTCTACATTTATTACAAGAGGTGTTAGTCTGAATATTTGTACATTCTCCTCCACATCTGTCAGTCCATCCATCCACGTAGGAGGCGTGGGAGGGTCAGAGAGTGAGCTGAGTCATTGAGCCACACCCCACAGGAGATAAAAGTGGGTGTGTTGTCAGCTGGAACTTTGTACGGGACAAAGTTTAATCTTGCTTCAGGTTTTCTTTGTGAACGATTTTATGGTCTGCCTTGTAATTTTCTCGAAGTAGCTTTTTACTTGTTATCAGTTCGGACTTGGCAGGCAGAGCGTGTTAGAATGGCAAGGACATTATCAGTTCCAAAGAATTAACTCTGTGAATTCCGAGCCAGCTTGCCTGCCTATGTTTCTGTAAGTTTGTACTCTTTCATTTTTGGAAAGAAGAAAAGTGAGACAGAACAAGTAAGTAAGTGAAATCTCCTTCAAATTGAGGTGTTCATTTAGTTTTCCTGGGAGCAGTACGAAAAATATGATCCACTCTTTTCTTCTGGGTCCTTCTCTTGATGTTATGAAATTAAAATGGCTGCATTTTGTCCTCTTTCAATTCAGCTATTATGTATCTGCCAAAATTATTGCCATGTTTTATTCATGAAGAATAACTATTGCTTTTTTACATTAGTGGCATCAAAAATATTGTAGTGATAGGGACAGATTATGAATATTTAATGTCAGCTTTCCAAGTAACACACCCATAGAAAACAAACTCTGAGGCACTAGAGTTCCTCAAAGAACACTTTATTGGATACATCATTTTGGCACAGACTGGTGAAAGCCAACTCTGAGGTTTCCCACGGCTTTCACCTAATTAAAAGTAAAAGTTTTCCCCTTCCCTTCCAACTTACTGGTCACGCTATCCAATCCAGGTGCTGGCTGGTTGCTGGGTTACCAGCTCCTCTTCTGGTCAGCCATCTGTGAGAAAGTCCTTGGTTTCCGGAGGAAAACTTTATTGTTTGGGCTACAAAACCCCATCTATTTTCTCCCTTCCACTGTTGTGTGGCAACCCTGAAGCCTCAAAGATGGCTTCAGCCAGGCTCATTTCAGGGTTGACATTTAAAATAAAAACACTTCATTCAGTAATGAACATTCTCTCTGCCTGTTTTCAAGTTCAATTCCTAACATCACCCTTGATTTTTTTTAAAGGGAAAAACTTAAGTAATGGAGAAAAAATCCTGTTAGTAAACTTCGTAGAGATCAGTTGCTACTAGATCTCCATCCTGAGCAAACTCATGGTGGTGCTTCAAATCTCACTGGTTTAATTATCTATTCCACAGCTTCTTGACCAGGAAGAATATCTTCCTTCAGCATGTGAGCCCCAGGATGTGGCCCATGGATATGTAAAAATCAAGGTAATGATAGAAAGACTATATTTTAAATTGATGTTTTAATTGCTTTCAGTGGGGGAAACAATTCTGTTTATTGTAATTTGAACATGTAAAAATGAAAAATCATTTTAAAGAAGTGATTGGACCGCCATTTGTCTGAAATGGTGTAGAGTTTCTGGCCTGAGCAGGGGTTGGATTAGTGGACCTCCAAGGTCCCATCCACCTCTGTTGTACTGTTCTGTTCTGAATCATGAGTTGTGCCTTAGTCATTTCATATAGTGCAAATAGCAGACTCAAACTCATCCCAAATAACTAGCAAGACATGGCCTCGGTCAATTTGTTTGCATCTGTCCAGATGGCATCTAGCTGAAAGCAAGTCTTATTCTCTATCTCTCTCATGCTCTTCAGCTCAGCAAATGCTTTTTCAACCCACCTCACTTTTTACATATAAATAGTGCCATTTAGCTGGGGCTGTAATGTTCTATAAGAGAGAGAGAAAAATGCCATTTTGCTGCTGTTGTAAAAGCTAAGCAATAACTCCCATTTGCTTGGATTCATTCTTTGACTTCTGCCACTGCAGGTACTGTGTACCTACATTGTAGGTACAGTAGACGTTGTACATTGTCTTTACGGGACAGTGAATTGTGATCATCTATTTATCATTTCCCATATGGTGATTTTAAGTAGGGGGTGGAGGTAGGCCTTTGCTTTGCATATAACCGTTTCCTGTTTTTGTTATTACCACTGCCCTACTTTTTAACAATTTACTCTGAAGTTTAGAGATGTAGTTTCTTTTGCCTTTGATAATTAGAACCCAAGCCTTTCTTCCCTTCCTGTCTTTAGCCAGACACCGAGTTGCACTTTGTGGAGATGGGGAGTGGTCCCGTGATTTGCCTCTGCCACGGATTTCCAGAGTCCTGGTTTTCTTGGAGGTTCCAGGTGACACCGTTTTTATTCCTAATTTGCATGAATGCCAAATTTTGGAAAAAGTTCAATTTACTTGAAGGAAAAGGAATATCCCTTTCTCATACATAATATATGGCAGCTGCAATGTTTACATGGAAGTTTTGGGTTATAGGAAAATGGGCCCACATTACCTGTGTACCCAATAAGGTTACTTTTGTCTTTTTCTCCATGTTAGATTCCTGCCCTTGCTGATGCTGGCTTCCGTGTCATTGCCTTGCAAATGAAAGGCTATGGAGATTCTGTGGGTCCACCAGGTACAGTGTGTGTGTGTGTGTGTGTGTGTGTGTGTGAAAACAGATTCACTGTACTGGTCCACTTTTTAAATGTGACCTTGCTATTTAAGTCACTTGTTAGTTGTTCTTCGCTCATGACTTCCACGTGGGTTTTAGCTATACAAGAGACACCTTACAAAGCAAAGAAATCACGGTAACAATTTAAAATGAATGAAAGTGAATTACAGCAACATTGATCCCTTAATCTATTTAAGTCTGTTCTAAAGACCCTGAAATCAACTGTTTTGTAAGGTCCGAGAGACGAGCAAAAAAGTTTAAATATTCCCTAACTAACCTTCGCACCCTCGTAGTTTAAATCTTGCAATTCTGTTTGCATTTTTAAAGCTTACATATTTGGCTTCATGCAGTAAACATATCTGTAACTGATAGCAACTCTCAAAGGTCACAAGCCAAGATAGGCATTTCCCAGCTCTACCACTGTAAAGCCAGTATGGTGTAGCGGTTGATGTGTTGGACCAAGACTGGGAAAGCGGGCTACAAAAGCTTTGCTGTATGCAACCCAGAGTCACTTGTTGTAAGATGGGCAGATATATAACATTTGATAAAGGAAAGGAAGAAAATTATTTACCTTCAGGCTTGGAAACTCACCGGATAACTTTGGACAGAAATTCTGTCTCAGCCAAACCTATCTCAACAATCTTAAATTATTTAAGGAAAATTAATAAACAGTAGATATAGAGATGCCGGATTTTGAACTTTGTGTGTGTGTGTGTGCCATTTCTGTTTGCGGACTTTCTTCAATGCACAGGCATACATGTAGAGTAGTGCTTACCATTAGCCCTTTGCTTATGAATACAATTGAGCCCAAAATTTATGTTGCTAAGTGAGACAGTTATTAAGTGAGTTTTGAATTATTTTCCTGTTGTAGTTGCTAAGTGAATCACTGCAGATGTTAAGTTAGTAACACAGTTAAGTGAATCCCTACTGACTTTGTTAGAAGGTCGCAAAAGACGATCCCAAGGAGCTCAGGATACCGCAACAGTCTGTTGCCAAAGATCTGAATTTTGATCACATGATCCTGGGAATGCTGCAACTGTCATTAGTGTGAAAAGCAGTCATAAGTCACTTTTTTCCAGTACCGTTATAACTTTGAAATGTCACTGCTGTTGTAAGTTGAGGACTGTCCGCCTAAGACTGGAATCTTTTCCCAAAATAATAGCCTTGACTGTTGAGAACCTAAGTCAAACAAGGCTTCTTGAACTGCACTCAAGAGGCCAGCTGACAGTCGATACACCCATCGTTGAGTTGTCATAGAGGCCAACTGAGCCTATTTCTACTTGGGTCATCGCACTTTAAACTAACTGAAGCTTTGAATAGCCTTCAAGGGCAGCACTATGTAGAGCAGGGGTGCCAAACTCAAGGCCCGTGGGCCGGATCCATGGTGCTTCTGCCAATGAAAATAGCTCGGGAGGGCTGTGGGCTCCCAAGCTCCGTTTTCACTGGCAGAGGGTTGCAGGAAGTTGGTGCAGCCAAAAATGGAGCTCGGGAGCCCACTTTCTCTGGCAAGCTACCACAGGTGCTCCCGACACGAATGATGTCAAGCTGGCCATGCGCGCCCTGGCCACCCGAGATCAAACACAACTCTGATGCATCTCTCAGTGAAATCGAGTTTGACAGTGCCGCTAATAGCTTCTGAAAATGTTAAGCCATGTGGTATGAAGTAGAACGAAGCAGCTAGCTGAATATTTGGCATAATCATCTCCTTTTAATGACCCTATAATCCTTTCCGGGATGGAGTCTGGGCAGTTGAATGGAGCTGAGTGTTTACTGGCCGGATGCCTTTCCTGTCACCAATGTGGAGTTATATTCAGCAGATATATTCTCATCATACCCAGAGAGAGAAATATCTGCCTCTATGTAGGATCAAACTCACAGCCTCCTGATTGGGAGGCAAGAGCATTACTGTAATGTTTGCTATAAAAGCTTGTTGCTCCATTCTGCCATTTCTGATATACCATACAACAAAACCCCCAAATCAACACTGCACTTGAACATGATTTTTAAAACAGTTTACTGATTTACCTGCATTTTATATATGTGCATGCTACTTTGTTGGTCGACACAGCTAGGGAGAACTTATAAATAAACATGACATTTTCTCATCGTATTTAGATTTGTAATCCTCTCATTACTGAAACGTCAAGCATTATTTTCTCTGACTATGTGTGGGCACGCCACTGTGTGTCGGTAAACAAGTTCCAGTAGCAGTCAAATAATTCAGATGTAGTTAATTTTTCTTTTTATATTGTTTGCAGAAAAAAAATCTAGGATCAGATTGTATTTATATTTCACATTTCAAATTGTAAGATCCTTCTTGCTTTTGGATGTAAAATTGCTCCAGGATTTTCTAGGCATAGTGCCCCTGACTTCTGGCCATGCACCGTCTCGGCAGCAGTGGCGAGAGTTCCAGTCTGAAGGTTGTCATTTCATTTCCCATGCTGCCAGAGTGATGACATGTAAAGGATATTGTGGAAGATTAAAATGGAAGGTTGACACAACTGTGCCCTGAGTGGAGAAAAGACATTAAATTGCCCTGAGCAGGTGACAGTAGAGAATACTTATGGGTTCTGGTGGCTACTAGCGATGCAGAGGGCTGACATAAATCATTTGAAGCTTGTTAAAAGTACAAGAACAGCTTGCTTCTTCATTTCTCTCCCCCCCCCTTTCTTCCTTAACTGATTATGTTCAGTTTCTTCTGAGTACATGTCATATCCCAAGGGAAGCTGTTGGGTCATCATTATGCAAGATCCATGATCCCCAAAGGAATCTGATTCTAGCAATAATATTGTTGTCTCAAGAGCTTCAGGGTGCAAGATTCCACACCAGGATAATGCATAATGCATAACACCAGGTAATGATAATATAGATAATGCATAACACCAGGGTTCTTTTCAATAGCCCAGAGATAAGGTGGAATTCAAATGGTCAGTAAGTTTGCTCTGTTGTTGGAAAGTTCACTTTGATTTTATTCTACATTTTGGTGGAAACTGTCCTGCTGGCTGAAACTTCTAGCTTCAATAGTAAGATTGGCATTTCTATTTTGCCAGAGTCTGTAATTTCCCTTTTTTCTTTTCTAAGTTGTCATGGGACATGAGTGCTCATGCATGTAGACTTTTGGATGGGCAGGAGAGAGAGAGATCAAAGTAATGACAATTCCAGGAGTGATGTGTTCTAGGCTTGGTGACTGGTGGATGGATCATTGCCTTCTGCCAACACAACTAAGAAATTGAAATGCTCCTTGGGTGTTGTTCATATCCCAATAGGACAAAACTTTTGTTTTTCCACTCTGGCGCAGTGGTTAGAATGCAGTACTGCAAACTACTTCTGCTGGCTGCAGTTCAGCCGTTCAGTTCTCACTGGCTCAAGGTTGATTCAGCCTTCCATCATTCTGAGGTGGGTAAAATGAGGACTCAGATTGTTGGGTTTACTCTGTAAACCGCTTAGAGAGGGCTGTAAAACACTGTAAAGTGGTATGTAAATTAGAGTGCTATTGTTAATGGTATAGTGAATATTTGAAATTGGTTTTCCCTAATCTTAATTCAACAATCTTCTATTCTACCATGCAGAGTATCCTTCCTATAGTCCTGTATGAAAGTAACTTCTCTTCCTTATGCAATCTACAAAAACAAGCCCATCTGGGGTGTTAATTTGAAACTTTTTAGAGGGACATTACACACATGAAGAAGCCCATGGCAAGTCTTGTATTTTAAAATCAACTTGTGGACATACAGTGGCTTTAATAATGCCTGTTTTTGTTGCAGATACAGAAGCATATTCCCAGGAAGAAATTTGTAAGGTAGGTCATGATCTTCAATAATATACCCTTCACTTACAGTGACTGAGATACATTCAACAATATTTATGATATGTCAATATGTAAAATACAGAGAAGTATTTAAACCAACGAAGATCAACATCAGTACAGGTAGGCCCCACAAATAGTTATTCAGCAACTATCGGGAGTTAAAATGGCATTGAATGAGGGGAGTTTATGATCCTTGTATTGCAGCATATCACATCCTCACAGTCACATGATGTCATTTATCATCTTTACTGCTGTCTTCTAATGTGCAAAATTAATGGGGAAGCTGATAGGAAGTTACAAAAGGTGACCGCGTGACTTCAGGAAGCTGAGATCACATGAGATTTACCTATTGATAGCAATTGGGACTGCTGGAACCGGCCATTATGCATCAACATGGTCACATAGTGTCACAGCTTACAACCATGTTGCTTAACAATGGAGTTGCTGCTCCCAATTGACATCTGTAAGCGAGAACTATATTCAGGCAACAGAGTATTCAGTAGTGAACAAAGCCATGGGAATATGACTGATGCGTTAATCTTCAAGTGTATAACTTCCATGTATTTAACTCATAGTTTTTTACATGGAAGACAATAGCAATCGGGGGACCTGATGTTCCATCACTAAGCAATGCAGTCGTAAAGTGTGGGGATGCCAGGACAGCAGAACTTCAAGGTCCAACTGTAATGACCATTCATTCAGCTTTGAATGGTTACTTAGTGGATGGTTGTGGGTTGAGGAGTATCTGTACACTACAGAGAGGAAATAATAGCATTCGTATGCTAATCTGACTCAGCCTGAAGTGGTTTAATGTAGCAACCAGACCATTTCATACTTCTTATAAGGCTATGTTGGATCCACAAGAAGATGCTAATATGATGCTGGTGCTATTGTTGTAGTTATTTAATGGCAGCAGTACTGTGGTTATTATTATAGTAAAAAAAATCTGGTGCATTTTCAATGAGTTCTAGAGACAAAAGCAGATAAACTGAAGCTTTAGTACAAATTCTAGCAGGACATGGGATTTCCAGAAATAACAGCAAGTATGGCAATAATAAAAGTCAACAGAACTTTCAGGATAAAGCTTCTAGTTTAGGTATATATCAGAGGTGTCCAACTCAAGGCCTGTGGGCCAGATCCAGGAAATAGCAAAGGACTGGCCTGCAGTGCCTCTGCCAGCAAAAATGGAGCTTGGGAGAGCCACGTGTGGCCCTCATCGGCCCAGTTTTCAGCCGGGATGGTATCCTGCCACCCTCTACCAGTGAAAATAGAGCTCTGAGCTCATTTTTTGCTGGCAGAGGGCTGCAGGAGGCCATCCTGGCTGAAAACTGGGTGCAGGGGGGCCACACACACCCCTCCCTGAGCTCCATTTTTGCTGGCAGAGGGCTAGCAAAACAGACTAAAAACAAAACAAAAGGAAAAATGTTTCCCCTTTTGCATTTGAGCATGCAAGAAGGAATAGGAAAGAAGAAAGGGAAAGAGGAAAGATAAAGAAAAAGAAGGAAAGTTGGGAAGAGAGCAAGGAATGAAAGGAAAAAGAAGGGAGGGAAGGAAGGAAGGATGGATGGATGGATGGATGGAAGGAAGGAAGGAAGAACGGAGATTATAATGAGAGTGAGGGAGGGCCTGAAGGCAGTCCTGCTTTAGCACTTGGCCACCACAGGTACCCCCTACACGAGTGACATTGAACTGGCCATGCCCCGCCTGGCCATGCCCTTCCCCCAAAGTCAAACACAACACTGATGCAGCCCTCAATGAAATCGAGTTTGACACAGTCGAGTTTTATATATCATGGCCCGTTTATTTTTTAGGAATTGAGGATTATAAAATAAAAAAGTTACTGCTTCTTCCTAGGTTGATATATCACATCACATGGATTCTTAGTAATTTATACTACAGGAATTGTAACTTAGCCAGCTTTTTCTCCTCCATATTACCAAAGCTGTTTAAAGCTGAATGAGAGTGATTTCCTTAAGTCACTTTTTAAATTCTGCTAAAAAATCCACACTTGAGAATTGTTAGTTCATCCAGCTCTAAAATATTGACTTCCTAAACATTTTAAATAAGTGTGGTGATTTATGTGAGAATTGGTAAGATTATAATTATGGTTTTGGAACACAACGTTCATGGACAGCATTCTAACAATGAGATTCCTGTATTATACTTTTGGTTGCAAAGACCATTAAGCCATTTGATAGGCAAGTCAGGAAATGCAATGCCTATACATATAATTATCTTTCTGCTTTCTGTTAAATCAGTATTAAGGAATCTAAAAGGCCCATATATCTTTTATACAGTATCTGGCATTCTACAGTCCAGAAGGAAGTTTCATTCCATCATTAAAAAGAGTCTTTGTCTCCATGCAGACAAGGTTAGGGCAGTGAGCAATTGCATTGGGGCGAAAGGAGGGGAAGAGTTAGTAAAAGATATAGGTTCCTACTGAAAGAGTGCCCCCACCTACCCTGAACCCATCTAAACCTTGGAAAGTTAGAAAAGTTAGAAAAGCTAAACTTCAACTTGTAAAGCATCCACACTTCTGTCAAAACACAGTGGAGTATGATTCAGAAGGTGACCAGTGGGAGACATAGGAAAATGTCATTTCATATACTCATGGTGTTTCAGGTTTTAAGTGAATAAGATACAGTGTCTACCCTAGGTAGATTGAATTGGCTGCATGCCCAAAGTGTACTACAGTATTATGATCTGCTAAAATTCAACTCTGATGGAGTGCAAATAGCATTGAGAACATGCATGATGTTGTGTTCCTGCTGCTCTCGGTCTGTGTCTACCTGGGCTGATCTAGGATGGACTAAGCAGTAGAAGACAAAATAAGAGGGTTTTTCTCAAGAACTTGATGTCAATGTCTGACTTTTATTTTTATTTATTTTTTTGCTTATTTACCTCAGGATTTGGTGATCTTTCTGGACAAAATGGTAAGTTATGCTGGTTTGTGTCTTACAACATGTATTATCAACAAGGTCGTACCATCCCCTAGGATGTCATAGTGCAGGGATGTCAAACTTGTGATGTCACGTTTTCGGCACGTGACGTATTGTGACTTTTCCCCCCTTCGCTAAAACGGGGGTGAGTGTTGCCAGTGTGTGACACATCTGGCCTGCGGGCCGCAAGTTTGACACTCCTGCCATTTGTATTTGAGTCTTCAGTGTTCAACTGACCACAGCTGACCAGCTGTGTTACATCATTTCATCTCCACATGACAGAAATGAGGTTCTAAAGATGAGAATGTTTCAATAACTAAAGTTCACCCTACGTATTATGCAGTGGTGTCTTAGTGGTCCTAGATCCTCAATTATAGAAATGAGAGAGTTCTTGAAATGAGATTTATCAGCACAGCTATGTCCCCTGCCAAAGTGTCACGAAAAAATAGTACATTTTCCCCAATTTTCCTGTGTGAGAATCTAATTTTCTCTCAGTGATTGATATTGTCTCTTACCTATTTAATAGCAAATGCATCCTCTGTCAAGAGATGGGTGCTTTATGTTCTTTTTTATTGCTTTTAAAATAGAGATGGGTGCTTTATGTTGGAGATGGAAGAGTCTGTCAGCTATCCAATAAAACATGCGTGCATTATTGCTTTCTGCCACAGTTGGACCATAACTAACCTCTAGGCTTCTTTGACTCAGATTACCCTGATTTCATCCTGACATGCAAAATGACCTGATGCTGACAAGGTGGGCTAGATCAGGGGTCCCCAACCACCGGGCTGCGGACCGGTACCGGTCCGTGGAACTTTTCCTACCGGGCCGCCGGTTTGCTGGGCGCCGCCATCTTGTTTGACGAGAAAGTGCTTCCGGGTGAGCTTTTCCGGTTGGAAAGCGGCGTTTGGGTCCTGAAGGAATCCTCGCGCCTTAGTTTCATCGAAGGGGGGGGGGCTTCGAACGAAACTAAGGCGCGAGGATTCTTTCAGCACCCAAGGCAAGGCGAGCCGAGCGACCGTCCCAAAGCCGTCCCAAAGCGAAGCCCATCGACAAAGGTACAAAGGAGGAGTTGAAGGTGGCGGGGAGAAGCGGGGGACGGCTGCCTGGCCAGTCTCTCGGCTCGCCTTGCCTTGTCATGCGTGCTGATGCCAGTACTGGGCCGCGGATCATTTTGTGATGCTGGTACCGGGCCGCGGCACAAAAAAGGTTGGGGGCCACTGGGCTAGATGACCCTAATAATCCTTTATTCAGCCGACAGCAGCCATGGATTTTGAGATGTTGATTTTCAAGGTGGAGATTTGGGGACATCTTAAGGCTTTATCTGGCAAATGAAGAATTCCCATCAGTCTTGGAGGAGGGGCTATGATTTGCTACCTTGTATGAAAATTTGTTTCCTGCCTACTTGCACATGGCACTGAAGGCTTGTAATATTATACAAAATAATACGTTTCTATAAGAACATACATTTTTATATTTAATTTGCCAGCCATTTGAGATCTACAGGGTTATTTGCTTGTGTGTTTGTAACTAGCTGATTGTGAGCAAGGCATTACTTTCTCTGTTATTGTCATACATGAGAGATAGCAAGGAAATGAGTGCTTGTAAAAACAGGGAACGGACGTACCAATTCTATAACTCTTGCATTCGTTCTGAAGAAGTTCTTTCTCGTCTTCTTAGTTTGCAGGACTTTCAGTGAACTATTGAAAGTATGAGACTTTCTTAATTCTATGCAAATAGGTTCTCTTTTTTGTTGTTGTTGTTGTTCTATAATTTATATCTCACCATATTCAAATAGTGGGATAAAAGATGGCTCACAATCATAAAACTAAACAAATAAAACAAAACAGTTAAGTACCATATGTTCTGTCTCACCTGTGACCACGAGGCGAGAGTCCAAGCCTCCAAAGGAATATAAATAAACAGACAGGACCAGGAATGATAGAGTTAAATTCCTTTGACTGGAGAAGTCCTTGGCAGTCTTCCAGAAGCTGCCTGCCAAGTCCAATAACAAACAAGACCATAAATCAAAAAGCAAACACCGCACAGAGAATTTGTCAAGCTGCTATTCCGAATAAACAAATTGTCCCGAACGAGGATTCAGAGCTAACACGCCCTCTTTTATTTCCTGAGGGGCGTGTCAGTCTCTCAAGTCAGTCCCTGATTTCCTTTTACGTTGCATTTCACGCTTCTGCCTGCGTCTTTGCCTTGCATCAAACCAGCATTCCTCGGCTTGATCCTCATCCAAGGACTCCGGCACTCTCTCCTGATTATCTACCGACACCTGAGGCACAACCAGGGAGGAAGGGGAGGAAGATGATTCCGAATCTTCCAGCAAGGCAGGCTCAAACCTCAAGGCCAAATCCTCCTCTTCCTCATTACTCGAGCCTGTGTCTTCTAATAGAGCAGGCTCAAGCCTCCGAGTCACAACACCATAAAAAAGAACTGTTAAGCCCCATAAGCCCCATTTATGCTTCCATAAGTTCATGTTTTAAAATAAAACAAAGAATGAAATGTCATTTTGATTCAGAAATAAAAAAGGCTAAAAATTTCATTTTTCATTCCCTGTCACAAAACAATCTTCACTGCCTTCCTAAAAGATAACGCTGTGGGGCCGATCTGACTTCTTGGGGGACTTCCATATAACTGACAAGGCCTGTTTCTAGTCTCACTTCATAGCCATGTCCTGTTGGGAAAGGGACTATTTTCCAAGCTTCCTCTCCCATCCCGAATGCACAGGACAAACAGATTCAGTTTGAAAGTAACAGCCTCATTGGTAAATGGGAGCCAAGCCATGTAAAAGGCTTCACAGGTTAAAACCAATACTTAGCATTTTATTTAAGTTTTGATTTTTTAAAAAAATGCAACTTTATCGATCACTGGTACAATGCTCATTAAACTAGTAGCAAATCCCTGAAGCTGCTCTTACCCACCAGCATTCTGCACCAGCTGCAGTTGCTGGATAGTGAAGTGTGTTGTGATTATGCGTTAACAGTAAAGTGTTGTAGTTATGGCTGGAGCTGATGCATCTCAGCTCCAGCCATAGCTGGTATGGGAACTGATTAATTGTGGAGATATTAGTTGCAAAAGCTTTCCTATAGATGCTAAATATGAAACCATAGGAACAGAGTCTTCCTGTGGCTCGGGAGAGGTGGAGACTGTGGGTCACATACTCCTTCGATGTTACTTTTACACAGAGATTAGGAAAAAACATATTCTGCCAATAATTGCTAGGTATCCTGACTGTTTTTGACACTGCTTATCTCCAGTGGCTGCTTAAGGATGAACAGTCCATAACTATACCGCAGGTGGCTAGATTCTGCGCAGCAGCACTGGAGATTCACTGGAAACACGTGTCTAATCCACCATAATTATTTTATACAACAAATGTGGCAAACCCTTTGCACTGCTTATTCCTTTCCCTTTTAGTATTAAACTGACAACGGGCCACCCAGTTTATGGATTGCAATTTTAGACTATATATAATTGACAGACTGGATTTTATCATGGATTTTAGTTGTTATTTATTTATTTTATACTAGAACTTTTAATTGTACATTTACTGAGTGTTTTTATTGGTTCTGGTCTCTGGTCTATGACTGTAATAAACTAAATTGAAATTGATTGAAATATGAAGCAATTCAGGTTGGTGGATCTTGAGATGTAGCTTTTGGTGCAAGAACTGTACAATATTTACAATTTCCAGGCAGATGGGCTGCTGTATTCTCCACCAACTGCAGTTTCTGGGCATTAAAGTGTGTTGTGGTGATGCAGGCTCATGGTGAGGAGGGTATGAGTAACTGTCCCTAAGGCTGTAAAGGGCTAGAGCTCATGCATATCATCAGAAGCTAATATGAAAATTGTCTTTGATTAATTGTGGCAAAGGCTCTTCTGAAGGTGTTAAATATGACACAAGTCAAGTTTCTGAGTTTTGAAATGTGGGCTTATGGGTCAACAGTTGTACAGTAATAACTGTTTTCCAGACAGACTTTCCATGCAATTACGTTTACCTTATGAAAAGGTAATGAGACATAACCTGGTGGAGTAATGATAATATGATTTGGATAATGACTGAGCTAGTTCTGGATTTGTGCATTTAACTTAATTTAGTTAATTTAATATAATTCTATTTAATTAAAAGGGCTAATGCGTTCTAACTGAGAAGTGGATTAATTCTTTCACTCCAGGCACTTGAAATATGGCAGTCCTGTGTCACTGACCTTTCCTGACAAAATTGCTTCTTTTATTTTACCCCTGACAAATTGTCTGTCTCAAGCAGAAACTAAAGAGAGAGGTCACCAGATCAGCACCATGTTGTTAAATAACAATTCCTCCTGTAACCTTTCTGGAAGCATTCATCTGTCCTGACAATATAATTAGGATTATAATTCAGATTGCCCTATTGGAGAGAAAGAATCAATTTGAGATTTATTAAAAAGGGATAGGTACATAAAGGAACAGTATTTGAAATGCTGGCAACTGATTAACTGAAAGTTAATGTCAGCAGATTTTTGTTTTTCTGCTGAAGCTTAAAATCTTTTTTAAAATGTAGAGCAGCTTTTTAAAAGTTCTATTCTACCCCAAATTTCCATTTTTCTAAATTAAAAGAATAATCCATACACAGCACTTTACAGGTACCCCTGCTAGAATCTTCAGAATTGTTATCTTCTCAAACTAGCTCTTAGTCTAGGGCAAGGGTCTCCAAACTTGGCAAGTTTAAGACTTGTGGACTTCAACTCCCAGAATTCCTGAGCTACTATGACTGGAGGAGGAATTCTGGGAGTTGAAGTCCACAAGTCTTAAAGCTGTCAAGTTTGAAGACCCCCTGTTCAAGGGCAGAGGTGGGGAACGATGGCCCTTTTATGACTTGTGGACTTCAATTCCCAGAATTCCTAAGCCATTGGCTGGCTCTGGAATTCTGGGAATTGAAGTCCACAAGTCATATAAGGGCCATCGTTTCCCATCCCTGTTCTAGGGCTTCATAGAGGCGCCCTCCA